AAACGCCTACGAATAAATTTCATTTTTCATCGTGTTGCATTACTGACTGTCGGATGCTCCCCAGTTGCATAAATTATTTATGCCGCTTGGCTTTTTCGCTAACGGGCTCTTACTTTTTAGCCATTTTTCTCTAATTTGCTAACAGCAATAGCAGTAACAATTTCGTTTATTAATTTTTTAAAACATTTTTAATTGCAATTTAATTGTTGCGTTGCTCTGTGAGCTCAGTTTCAGTTTTCGTTATTCGATTCGGAAAAGTGAAAACGTGTCGCGATTATTGTTTAATTATAGTTTGTTGATAATGCGATTATCGAAATGCTTTGAAGCTATAATATTACCAAAGAAAAGGCACAGAACAAAAGGCAGAGCTAGACATAGAGATAAAGAGAAATCGATATAGATCTCTGAAGTTTTAGATTGCTCGAAAGAGTTTCTTTTATTTGTATATTAAATGAAAAATCACCATCTACTGATTATTTGAATGGAACTTATTTATCATTATTTTCAAGTTGGTTGCCCAACATGTTAAGAGATTAGAAAACTGTGTAAACTTGTGTAATAGAAATTGTCAAGGCGAATACTAAGTGTTTTTAAATGAGCATTTGTTCAACTATTTTTCTGGTCGGCTTTCTTATCAGTTGGAGAAAAGTGAACTTTAATTAGTGCCTTGAAGAGAATCTCTTGTTCATAGCAGCTGCAAACGAGCGAGACCTGTTCCCATTGGACGCAAACACTTTGAGATCTATAGCATTATATTCCACACTAGGTAATCGTTTGTGCAGCCACCTTTCAGTTGAGTGCAACACCAACTCAGAAAGCAGCCAATCTAGTCTATCCCAACAAAATAGTTCCCACACAAATTTCCGCCTGCGCTGCTAAGAATGCGAGGGGTAGAGACAAGTTTAAATATTTAAATAAATACGCTGCGTTACTTAGACTGTATTATTATACAATAGGTAGATGATTATAACAAAAACAATTCACACATGCGAAGTAAAACTAATTAATTCAGATAAATAGTCGCGTCACATGAAAACGCTTGAGAAACGCGCCCAAAACGCTCAGCATTTGGCCACCTTCAAATTTGGGACTGGCAAGCTTTAGTCGGCGGAACTCCACCTCGTTTTTATCTATGTATGAGTTGTTGGGCTAAGACGTTTCTGGGAATAGCAATGCGTCCAAAGTGCTTAGAATTGGGCACACTGTGGAGTCACTGTGGTGGCGCCGCAGTCGCAGTCGCAGCCGCCGTCGCCGCAGCCGAGACTCGCCTGGGAACCAGTTTTCAGTGGCAGCAACAGCCACCAGCAACAACAATTGGACGCAACTCAGATACAGCCCTAGCGCTCCAGAAGACCCGTTCGGCAAAGTAGCACAAAGCAATGAACTGTTGAAAATGCCTGAGAATCTTTTCCGGTGACCGTGCCCGGGCCCCGACCCCAGTCCCAGCCATAGCCCGGAACAATCTGAACAAACACTGTCGAAAACGGTCAAAAGAACGGGCCTGCAACAATTGGTGGGCGTTGCACTGTGGAATGGAAAGCCGAAGCTGAATTTCATCAAAACCAGAATATACGAAACACATGTCGAAACTCTCTGTAGCCTTGAAGCTCTTTTTATTTTATTTTGTATTCGTTTGTTTGGTAATATGCAGTGCTGACTCATGGGTTGAAGAATCTGAAATTCGATACAAAAAGCAGTCGAAAATGGAAGGAAGAAAGAGTGTAGCTGGAACTTTGATAGAATATGCTTTACTTTAGTTTATCTTTCATGTAACTACTGTATATATGATAAATATTTGAAGCGCTTTCGCAATCAAGGATGATTTTTAATTTTTGTAGATATTGGTTTAAAAATAAACAAAACTTTTTATTAAATATACACACGTGTTTTTAATATGCCCAAACCCATTGCTATTTATTATTATTAAATTCCATCACACACACTCTAATAATTTCACATTTCTTTCTATTATGTTTTCTATTTCGATTTTGTGAGGTTTTCATTCCACAGTGCGGATGCGAACACTTTAACTTGGCTGAGTCAAGCCCAATGGCGGGCTGTTGCGGTCGGTTCGCTGCGTATGCAAATAGCGACAGATAAAACGCAGCTACGTGATGGCTCTGATAAAGACAATGACAATGACAACAGCAGCAACAACAACAACAGATACATTTAACAACGCCCACAATTTAAACATTTGTTTCCAACTAAAAGCGAAAGTAGCCAGCCACATTTTCATTATGTGCGAGCATTTTGTATTATTTCAATTTGGTTTTTGTTTATTTTTATTTACTTTTTGCTGGTTTCTGCTTTATTTTAATATTTCATTTGTTTGCGGTTTGTGGTCTTCTCAAGGCGCTTGAAAATCGATGCACCCGATGCTGAAGCCTGCAAACTGGCAGCGCTACACAGGTAAGTCTGCCCTTTCTTCAAAATACAATAAATATGCCCTTAACGCTTACAATTATGAAAGTTTAGCAATCAAGGGAATGTCCATGAAGATAAATCTATAAATCATTTTTTATATATTATTTATATTTAAATTAAGTGCATATATGCGAAGCAAGTATCAAACAAACTTTTTTTGTTGAAAAGGGAAAAGTGTTTAATAATATCCCAATTCATTTAGCATTCCTAATAATTCCAATACGCTATATATAGCTTAAATATATGTATTATAGCTATGCTTATATTTTTTTAAATGGGAAACTTTTTAAGTAACATTCCATTCCATTTAGTATTCCCAAATATTCAAATATACATATATACATACATACATATACACCTATAATATATAAATCATAAGAGAAGCATAATAATATTTAATCTTTTTTAACATATAT